TGTGAGGCCATGAAGGGATCGGGGTGTGGGACCAGGATGGGATCGGGGTGTGAGGCCATGAAGGGATCGGGGTGTGGGGCCATGAAGGGATCGGGGTGTGGGGCCATGAAGGGATCGGGGTGTGGGACCATGAAGGGATCGGGCTGAGGCCATGAAGGGATCGGGCTGTGGGGCCATGAAGGGATCGGGGTGTGGGGCCACTGATCACAGATCAGGGTGTGAGGCCATGAAGGGATCGGGGTGTGGGGCCACCGCCAGATCAGGGTGTGAGGGTGGGGCGTTATGGTCTGCTGTGGCCTCGGCTTGGGGTGTTTGTGTAGGGGCTCAGGGGTGTTAGAGCCCATGGTGCTCTCAGGTGTGTATGAGGGGTGGTTGGGCCCCCAGCGCACTCAGGTGTGTGTRTGTGAGGGACATACGGACCTATAGTTGCCTCAGAGGGGTGAGGGCGCCCTGTAATAGTGTCAAGTATGTTTAGCCTCCGATGCTGTTAGTTGGGGTCTGTAGTGGTCTGAAGTGTGGGGAAGGGGTGTTGGAGCCCATAGCAGGCTCATGTTGGGGGGGGAGTGGGTTAGGGTCCATAATGGGTTCCGAGGTGTATGGGAGTTGTCAGGGTCTATAGTGGCCTCAGGTATGTGAGGGGAAGTGTTGGCCCCTGTAAAAAGGCAGCTCTGAGTCTTCAAGCCCCTGCTGCAGCTGTTTAGGGAGGTCTGACAAGGACTGTGTGTGCTGCGGCAGGTCCCAGCAGGAGGACGCCCCTGATAACTAAACAGCTATGACTTAGCTGCGAATCCCCAAAGGAGCTGTAGCAGSGGTTGACAGCCCTGGGTTAGGAATTGCTTGGACCACAGGCAGGGTAAGGTTCATGCTGTTTCTGCCACACTTGGTGGCTCCCCACAGCCTCTGAACCTAAACACATCCTGGGTGTAGAGGCATACTTGACTGGGGGGGGGAATGTTAATTACATTATTTTTTGAAATAAAACTGAAGGAGMAGAGCTTTACCTGCCAGTACCTTGAGCAGCCTCATTCTGCCAACCTRCTCCTGACAGCTGCTTCCCTTATTTGGCTTCTAAAATCATCCTCAGAGAGCTGTGTGAAACCACAGGCACAGAAACCTGAGAGCCCCGAGTCCCAAGTAAGGGGTGTTGGTGTGTCCTGTGCCTTAGAGGCCAAAGTWCAATATCAGTTTTTCTCACTGTGGTCCAGTAATTCACACAATGAGTTTCCTGTTTATAAGCTGGGCTCCATTAACCTTTTTTCTCCCCCTCTCTTTCTTACAAGTGGAAAGAAGAGCASGACTCATCTGTCAGCAGCTCTGTGAAAAGCTGGTGCTGACCAAGCAGGAGGCAGAGATCTCTCCCCAAACTAAGCGTGTAGAAAGCACTGAGTGAGTTGTGACGAGAACAACAGCTCTTGATGGGAGCACGAGCCAAGAACAACAGCTCGACAGGGAACTTTACACTTTCCCTGACAACTCCTTGGGGCGGAGACAGTTAAGTTTCTGCGTTTGTAAGGGAAACATGGCATTCCTTAAAGCTGAGCCTCCTCCCTCGGGTTCCCACTGAATGCCTGAGAGATGACAGCAGAGGGTGTCTCCAGAAGGCTCCTATTAAACAGCAGGAATTAGCACKGAGGGAGCAACAGCGAGATCCCAGATTTGACCACAGAATGAGCTAAAAAGCCTTGCATCAGCAACAGTTTGCAGCTTTCTTTACTTACTGGCTGCACACAGCTCCTGTGCAGGGGGTTCCTGTGCCCTCCTGTTGGTGCCTGCACCTGCCTGSTGTGTGAAGGGCTGTGCTGGGAGGGCAGATGAGCTCCAAACAGAAAGTGCTGAGGCAGCAGTGAGGCAGGACAGATGATCCCTGGGAGGGCAGCTGTGGTTCAGACACACAACTGGTTTGGTGTCCCCAGCAGCCCAAACCCGGCTGGCAGGGGAGCTGGTGAGCCGAGTATGTGGACAGATGGAACAGATACAGACAGGAAATGGGGGACAAACGGGGAAAATTGGTGTTTGTAAAGCTCTAAGGGGGCTCTGGTTAGYTCTGCAGTCCCATTTCTATTTTTAGCTCAGTGACTGGATGGCTTTGGGAAGTGATTTGAGGAGCTCAAGCCAGGTGTGAGTCTTCGGAGAGGACAAACCCGTCGGCACCAGGCAGCTCATGCGATGTGGCAGCTGCCACCACACCCTTTCCTGTTCACCCCGTGGCCGCGGGCAGCTGTGCCAGCCACACTGCCTGAGTGGGGAGAAGGGAAAAGGAGAGCTTTCCAAAATGCTGATAACCCCCAGCATTCCATGGAAAAAGAGAGGTGGTGGGCAGCTCTGCTTTTATGTCTCTCCTCTGAGACAAAAACCAGAAGTKCTGGGGTGGTGCCGACTTTTGGCCGTGGCTCAGCCTTGTCCCCTGTTAAAAGGCAATATTGACTTATGGAGGCATGGAGCATACTTGGCATGGGTGTTCCAAGTTAAAAATTGTCAGTCTGGGCAAACAGACCTTTGGGGTGAGCTGCAGGAAAGCCAAGTGGCTGCRCTGCATTATTGCAGCTTTTTTCAGAGCACAGTGTGACCTGGTGCTGCTCTGGGCACTGAGCACCCAGCTCGGCGAGTTTGGAGAAGCGCTGCAGGTTTTGGAGTTCAGTGCTTCAGATCAAACCCATTTCCTTCCCCTCGGTGAGGTGTTTGTAGTGCCTCAGTGAGTCAATAAGCTRTGCATGTGAGGAATGCACCTCACAGCTGAAGGTGAGCCATTAGTGTGGCTGTGCTGGAGCTAATGAGATTAATTAGTTCTTCCCAGGTGAATTGGAGCTGCAGAAATAAGATGCATGAGATACTTACTCGGAAACATCAGTGTGAGGCATTTTCAGATGGATGGGATCCTGCATATGACTCTCACCACAGGATATGTATCTCAGTCCTTAATTGTGTAGCACTGTCTAGTCAGGAGAATAACCTGTGCCTGGCAGATGTAGGGCACGTTCTGCAAAAGCTGCTGTTCACTGGCAGGAAGCAACTGATTCACCTGGGTGAGATCACAGTGCTATGGTGGGGCTCTGCTGAGAATATGGAGGAACAGGGAAGTGATTTCTCTATTAAAATATAATAAAATTCGAAAGAGTACAAGTGTCCTGGTGAGTCCATCCCCACATGGCCAGGTCCTGCTTTGTGCCTGGGGAGCAGCTCTGCTGTGTGTCTGTATCACAGAATCACGGAGTGGGTCGGGTTGGAAGGGGCCACAGGKGGATCATCTGCTCCAGCAGGGTCAGCCCAGAGCACAGGGTACAGRATTGTGTCTGGAACATCCCCAGTGAGGAAGACTCCACGTCCACTCTGGTCTCTGTCCCAGCACAATGAAGCTTTTCCTCGAGTCCAAGTGGCACTTCTTGTGCACGTTTTTGCCCGTTGCCTCTTGTGCTATCTCTTGGCACTTCTGAGCAGAGCCCGACCTATGAACTTGAGCCCAGGTGGCCACAACCCGCTGACGAGTTAAACCGCACAGCCAGCACAGTTTAACCTCGTCCCACGCACTGGGCGAGGCTGGGACTCGAACCGCTG